TCTCCATAGGGCAAATCGGTCTATATGACTGTCCGCCTCAGACCTGGAGGACAAGACCTGATGGGCAAGGAGGTGAGGGGTGAGTGAGAGATCCCATAGAGACGAGCTAGGCTGGAAGGGGCCCAGGGACTGGCTAGAGGGGACAGTCAAGCAAGGGACTCGGGCCAGTCATGCTGGGACTGGAGGTGGAGGCTCCCAGAGAACGTCTACAGTCTGCTCCTAGGACCGGCAGGGGCGGGGAGTGGGGGGGAACCGTAGGAGCACTGGCTACTGACCACTTCATCTGCCAATCAGAACTAGCCTGTGGGATGCAGACTGGGGCGAGGCATGCACGGAGCTCGGAGTTCTAATTCCCACACCTCTTCCCCAACAATAAATAGGATTCCAACTTCTCCACTTCCTTTAGCAGACCCTGTGGGACCATCAGAGAGGCTGCAAAGATGCCCCAACTCAGCATCGCCAGTGAAAGAGAGACGGAACCACCTACACATGTCCAACTACCGGGAATTGCTTAAATGGGGCACAGCGCATGTTGGGTGAATCTGTCATGGTTAGAAACTTCGCTGGGCAACGAGACTCACCGGTGTGCAAAAAGTTCAAACCTGACTCCGAGTTAGAAACGCACAATACAGACCATGTTGTGAAAAGTATAGATTAGCTAGCGGATATGGATAAAATTTTACAGTTTGTATGTCTGTCTCCACAGTTTTACATCCGCATGTATGCATGATGTACATATAGTAAATATACAGATCTGTGCAAAAATTGTAGAAAATGCTAACTATCAGCAGTTCTGTCTTAGTTTCCTTCTTTGTACTTTACTGTATATTCTGAGTGTGGTTTTTTTTTCCATCACAAAGTGTATAATTTGTCATCACAGCACTGTTTATAATAGCCAGGACATGGAAGTAATCTAGATGCCCATCAGCAGACGAATGGATAAGGAAGCCGTGGTACGTATACACCATGGAATATTACTCAGCCATTAAAAAGAATTCATTTGAGTCAGTTCTAATGAGATGGATGAAACTGGAGCCCATTATACAGAGTGAAGTAAGCCAGAAAGATAAAGACCATTACAGTATACTAACACATATATATGGAATTTAGAAAGATGGTAACAATAACCCTATATGCAAAACAGAAAAAGAGACACAGATGTACAGAACAAAATTTTGGACTCTGTGGGAGAAGGTAAGGGTGGGATGCTTCGAGAGAACAGCATTGAAACATGTATATTATCTAGGGTGAAACAGATCACCAGCCCAGGTTGGATGCATGAGACAAGTGCTCGGGCCTGGTGCACTGGGAAGACCCAGAGGGATCAGGTGGAGAGGGAGGTGGGAGGGGGGACCGGGATGGGTAATACATGTAAATCCATGGCTAATTCATTTCAATGTATGACAAAAACCACTGCAATGTTGTAAAGTAATTAGCCTCCAACTAATAAAAATAAAGGGAAAAAAATAAAGTATAAAATTAAGTAAAAAAAAAGTGTATAATTTGTTCTCATAGTTAGAAAAAACAACCCAATACTTTGGCAGAAACCAACACAATTCTGCAAAGCAATTATCCTTCAGCTTAAAAAAAAATAATTTTTAAAAAAAATCTGAAAAAAAAGGAAATACAACCCAATAAATTTAAAACATCATGAAGTTAGTTCAGACCCCATAATGTCATTTCAGAAACTTTTTTCTGAACTTTCTTCATGGGTGTGTCCAAAAATATATAAGCAAGTTTGTTCATCACCATGGCAGTTAGAATGGAAGGAAGAAAAGAGGAAACAGGGAGGGAGGAATAGAGAGATTAGCTAAATCTCCAACAGAATTTCCCAGCCCATCCTGGTCCTTCTTATGAGACAGAGAGGTTCCAGTTCAGCCTCTTAACAACCATAGAGTTACAAGCTACCTGGTTGGAATCAACATTTGAAGGAAGATCAGAATATTCTTTCAAATCTGAGGCTGATTGTGATAGTCCTGAATAGGTTCATCAGGTTTTTCTGTGCAAGCCTGAATTTTGTCCAATCAACAGGCTTTGGAAAAACCCTAGAAAGCACATGATAAAGTCATCTAGTGATTGCCCAACTCTGATTGTACAACAAATCAGTTGACTGATCTCTGGGCTCCTAGAGACCTCTCAGGCATTTCCCAGTTAGTGGCTTTCACACTGGTGCTGGAGTCACTGGCAAGTCTTCACTTATAAGCATATGAACTAACTGATAAGTTGGAGAAACCGGGGTGATAAGTTAGGCTGACTCTACTAAGGCCTGTCCACTCAAAGCAAAACACAGAGCATCTAAGTTTTATTCAGGGTCTTCCTGAGGACTGTAGCCTGGGAGACAGCTCTGAGGAACTGCTCCAAAAAGGAAGGGGAGGAGCCAGTGTGTGTTTGAATTTGGGGGCTGGGAAAAATGTGTCATCGAGCATACATCTTGGTAACTGATCACAGCTCATCGCAAAGAACAGATATACCAAGTTAATGATTTTAGTGCTTTTTTCTTGCATGTGACTGAGGCAGAAGTCATCAGTCAGAATTTATGAAATTCATCACCAGAAAAATTCATGAGATTCTCCCTGAGTCATGCCTATAGGGGCCCGGTTTTCCAAATCACAGAGTGTTTCATCCTGTTTTTCCATCCAGAAATCCTCTCAGGGTTCACTGTTGCTGGGAGACTGCAGCAGGTAGTAACTGAAGCCTTGTACAACTAGGTGGTGAGTGATGCTGTTTGTTCTCTTTTTGTCCTCAGGTGGTCCAATTCAGTTTTAAGAACAGTCAGTTTGGGATAGCAAAAATTCCTCATAATGATCATTGACATTCTAAGTTGCCATGGGTCCAAGGTCCTTCCTTGCAGTATCCAGTCCTAAAGATAATCACCCACTCAGCAGAGTGTCTCTTCCCCAGCCCCTCCCACCTTGCAGTGCAGAGTCCATCCCTGAGCAGGAAGTGGGTGGAGACCACACCTGGGGCCTGAGAGGACGCAGGTCTGTAAAAGGGCCCAGAAGACGGCCGGGTCCCTGGAGAGATGCCTCCAGCAGGAGGACTGGAGCGGCTCATGGACCTTTCTAGACCCAGGTGCAGAGTCTGGAGGGAACTGGTCCTTGTGGGTAAGACAGTGGGGCTAGCAGGATGGAGGTGGGGGAGAAGGGAGTGACCCAGAACCCTCAGCAGAACTTTCATGAACTCACACCCCTGGGCACGGCTTGCCCAAGACACACACACACACACACACACACACACTCACACACACACACACGTAGCATTCATCTCTACCCACCACAAGCCATGATGAAATTGAACCCCAACACACAATTCCCAGCAATCACTTCCTCTGGGCTCACCTCCTCTGCCCTGATGCCCTCCACTGACTCTGTGGCAGGACCCCCCCCCAACCCCTCACTTTCCCCCCAAACACTCTGCTTCCTCCTGATACTGACCACTCTCGTGTTTCCCTGGTGGCCACATACACTGTCCTCCAAAACCTCTAGGGTCCACACCTGGATCCCTGGAGCAGGGGGTCTCAGCTGTCTTTGCCTCCTCCATGGAGGCAAGGCTTAGGGTTCCCAGAGCAGCAGACACCTGCCCCGCCTCCACTTAGGAGATAACAGATACACACCCCCATTGGTGTTTGTGCCACTGAACCTAGATGATAAGACAAAGACAGTGTAAATCCTCTCGGGGGAGTTTAACCCCCCTAGATAACCATTCTGAGCCCTCTTGCTGGGCTCCACCCTGATCTCCGGGGAGCTGGGGACACAGAAGTGAATCAACAAGGAAGATGGACATGGGGAAGAGGGAGCAGGGATCAGGGGGCTAGAAGTAGGGAAGAGTATGTGTGACAGGTCAAGAAGAGCTCTGTGTGTGGCTGGGGCACACAGTTAGGATGCTGTGTCTTCTGGTGAATGAATGAAGATGGTAAAGTACGGTAGGTGTGACTCAAAAAGAGCCTGCATTAGGTCCTAGAGACCAGTTCTCTCTACATGTCTCACAAGCTATGCTAAGGGTTTGAACTTATTGTGAGAGCACTGGGGAGCCATGGAAGATACGTGAGCAGAGGGAGAACAGGGTAACCTGTGGGGCTACATAAGGATCCACAAAACTGATGTGTGAGGATGGACTGGAGTTCAGGGAGGAGGCCAGCCTGGAACAGGACGATAAAAGAATGGACCAGGGCAGGGGCTGAGGTGATGGAGAGCAGGGGAACAGACTGCCAAGTCCTTCACGAGCTAGAAGCCCTTGACCCATTTTCCAAGGTCTCTGTGGATCATGGCCTGTGCATGTAAACCTGTGTGCATGTATGTATGTGTGTGTGTCTTTTCTGTTTGTCTTCCTCAGCCAGTCTGCTGGCCTGTGGGATCCGCCAGGCCTCCAGCCAAATCTACATCGCCCCAGATTCACTCATCGGAGTGGAAAGATATTCAAGCTCACTGGCCGTCGAGAATGCCCCTGAAGATGTTCAGGAATACAGCTGGCACCGGGGTGCAAATGACACTGAGGAAAATCTGATTATCAGCTACAACACCACATCTCATTCCAGGCGGGATGGGCCCATGTACAGCGGCCGGGAAAGTGTGTCCATTAGAGGTACCCTGAGGATCTGGAGGTCACAGTTAAATGACACGGGGAACTACACAGTGAGGGTGGACACCATCAGTGACACCCAGAAAGCAACTGGCTGGCTCGAGGTTCGAGGTGAGTGGGCAGCTGCCCCACCACCCAACCGCAGCTGAGTTGGACTGGGTTTAGGGGATGGTGTCCTTTGGAGATCACACCATCCAACCTCCACCCACCTCCAGATGACACTGGGAGCCTAGGTGGATGGTAGCCCAGCTTCTCCCCAGAAATGGGATCCTTACTACCTTCAACGGCTCCAGGTTCCCTCTCAGTGTATTAGTTATCTCCTGCTGCATGACAAATAACCTCCAACTTAGTAGCTTTAAAGAACACCCACTTCTGTGAGTCAGAAGTTCTGATGTGGCTCAGCCATTTCCAGCGCTGAGACTCACAGGGTGTTAGCCAGGGCCATGTTCTCATGTGTGACTCTGTCTACAGGATTTCACATCCTGGCTCTTTGCCTCTTCAAGGCCAACAAAAATCTCTCTGTCTAGAGAGGAGTCTAATACAACAAAGCTAATGATGACAGTGAGAGACAGCCCATCACCTTAGCCGTATTCAATACGCTACAAGAAAGTCAGGAGCTCCACTCACATTGAGGGGATGGGATTATAGAGGGGTTATACCAGGGAGTGGAGATCATGGGGCCATCTTGGAATTCTGTCTACGTCAATGAGCTCTTGGTGTTCCACAGGGCTAGGGCAGGACAGTATGGATTTTGAAGGCTGGAAGAACTTAGTTCACCGCTGGCTCTTCATATACCATGTCACCTTTTGAGCCTCAGTTTTCTCATCTGTAAAATGGCAGTGTTATCCATCGCTGTGGTCTGCCTTAAGGTTAGAGGCGGAAATTTGTAAAGAGAATGGGAATAGTTAATGGGAGGAATTGTTATGTAGAACAAACACCATCTCTCACTTTGAGTTCTATCTGCACTTCCTTTGATGGGGATGTTCTGATTTGGCGGTTCAGAAGCAACCATCAGGCCACTGGACAATAGTGAAAACTCACAGTTATTATAATGGAGCCATAGAGATGGCTCAGAGCATTGGAAGACAGGCTCAGTAGAGAACCCCCATCTCGACTGCCTCATGCTCATCCCTGCTTCTCTGTCCCTCTCAGCCCTAGGGATGCCCTCTTGCCAGGATCCTAGGTCCTATCTTATAATTCTGGGCTTCTCCCCCAACATACCATGAAATCCCCACTGGAGAGGAGCAGAGCGTGGGGAGACAGATCCAACCCTTAACCTTCTCCTCTCTGCTTCACCCAGAGTTGGAAATCCCGCAAATCTCAGTCAACACCACCTCCGTCGTAGATGGTGAGGATGCGGTGGCTGCCACTTGCTACACCAATGACAGCCACATCCAGTGGTATGTGAATTATGTACCGGTGTCCGGCAATTACAGGATGACCATCTCCCCGGACAACAAGACCCTCGTCATCCGAATGTTCGGCCGCTTCGACTCACCACTTCAGTGCGGGATAGAAATTCTCCCAGAGCTTATTCAGAAAAGTGACCTCGTCTATGTGACAGTGGCCTGTGAGTGTTCTGGGGTTGTGAGAGTGAAGCCGGGGGTGGGGCTCAGGGTTTTCCCAGGGCGTAGCAGTAAGACCAGCAGAACTGGAGAGAGCGGCATGAGCCTCCTTGCAGACAGCTGCCCTGGGTTTGAATCCCAGGTTTGGCTATTTAACCCTTAGGCTTCAGAACCCTACTCACTGCCCAGAACCCTGGTCTCCACTCTGTTTAAAATGCGGGCCCACCCCTACCTCTCATATTAGAAATAGTGTGAATTTGTGACACCTGTCTCGAGTCTTACTTTTTCAAAACCCAACTGTGCACAGGTCTTCAAATTCAGCTCCCTGATCATTTTATTCAGTTCTTCTAAATTTAGTAAAAATCATATTCACTTTTGCTGTTACTGGGATGGGATTGATTATACTCCCCTAAAGAGCTTGGTTTTCAAGCCAAGTTATGTGTTTTATAGACACTCTGTTGAAGTCTTCTGCTGCCCATCAACACAAATTGGCAACCCATTCAGACCTGCTCAAATTCTCTTGTAAATCCAAGGCACTAAACTTAGAAATGCAGTGAAACTCAGATTCTTTGAAACATTCCAGGACTGTTCACACTGACCAGCTCTTTCACCTCTTTCAACTGGGAAACACATCAAGTCTAGCCTTGTTATCACATTTAAATCTGGAACCACTCTTGCAGTGTCTCAGATTTCCTAACCCGAGAGCTGTGGACAAAGGGCTCATCATTTCTGACCTCCCGCACTGCTCACTGGCCAGAGGTTTGGAACCAAAGCCAAAGACACCGGGGCTGCAAGTGTTCAGGGAAATTCCTCCCAGGTCATAAGGGTACTTGCCTGGTCCTTTTGTAGGTCAACAGGGGGACTCATGAATCCCTAAACCTCTCCTCCTCAGGCATGAAATGGATCAAGAGTGGCTGTGATCACGTGGGTCGTGTGGGAATTAAGTGAGTGTGTGAATGTGTGACATGTTTAAAAGGTGCCCGGAGTGCAGTAGGTGTGATGCCTGCTTCTACTCTATGCCTATTTTATGTGAGGGGCAGCCAGGGAGCTGAGCTGTAGTACCTCTTGGTAACAGAAGATGCTACGGTTACTGTCATTGTTGTTGGCTCAGCTACGCTAGCTGGGATGGGTCTGGGAGTTTGCTTGGGGTACAGAGTGGGGGTATCTCAGGACTGGGGGAGGACTTCATGTGGACTGAGGGAAGAAGTCGGGACTCCCAGGTGTCAGAAGCATGGTTCCGGGGGTCCTGCCCTGTCTCTGCAGATGGGCCTTACAGTCTGCTGCTCAGCAGTAGTCCCACTGACTTCAACGGCATCCTGTCTGCTGAGATCGGCTCCCAGGTGGAGATGGAGTGCATCTCCTATTCCAGACCAGAATCCAAGTACCGCTGGATCCACAATGGCTCCATCCTGAGCTTCTCAGAGAAGAACATCACCCTCCCAAGTCTGACCTGGGACCAGATGGGCAGATACAGGTGCATCGCGGAGAACTCCGCCACCCAGGTCACCTTGTATGAAGAAGTCCACGTCCAGGCACCCTGTGAGTGCAGCAAGGGGCCGTTGCTCTCCCCAAGTCTCCCCACTTCTATGCCTCTGCTTGGGGGGGTGCCTGTCATAGAAATGTCCTCTTCAGCGTGTGTTGACATGCTCACATTAGTCAGGTGAAGTCTCCCTAACCTCCCAAGTCCAAACTGTCTCCTTTATGAAGCCCCCAGAATCCTCAGATCAGAGTTGGAACGAATTTCAGGGATGCAGGATCGGCCAACACTGACTGAGCACTTACTCTGTGCCAGTAGCCACCATTCTAACCTGGGTGACCCTCCAGTCTCCCTATAGAGTAAGTGACATTTATCAGCATCACCTCCACTCTACGGGTGAGCAAATGGAGCCACAGAGAGTTTGGGCGCTTTGTTCAAGGCTCCAGTTCTAATGGGCAGAGGACGCAGGATTCAAACCCTGGCCATCTGACCTCACAGCCTCTGCCCTCCACAGATCCGCGGGGCTGCTCTGAGATGAGGAAGTGGGAACACGCCAGGGGAGGCAGTGCAGGGGAGGTGGGGAGCTGTCCATGGTGTGGCCTCTGAAGCTGGTTAGGAAGGAGTCTGCACGTGGGGGAGACACCTATTCAGGGACCCCACGTCCAATCCTCTACACCACGGAGAGAGATGGACAGGCTTGGGAGAGAGCAGGCATGCAGGACCGTGAAGAGCAGGAGCTCTGGAGCCCAGTGACCTGAGATCAAATCCCAGCTCTGCCACTGCCCTTCTGCGTGAACAGGCGCAGCAGCGTCACCTCTCTGAGCCCCAGTTTCCCCCTTTGCAGTTTGGGGGTTCTAGTCAATGGGGTTGCTGCACAAGGAACATCAGACAGGGCACTAGAAGCCATCAGCCTGGCTCGGAATGAGGGGAGTGGACACTGAATGGGGGCTGGAGACATTTATTTCAGTCCCTCTGCACTATTTACTAAGCATCGAACAGATACAATTTTTGCATATGAATGATGCTTCAGTTCACGCCATTCGACACCTACTGGACTATTAAACTTCAGGAGGACAGAGAGAGGTTGGGCAAGCACTTTGACCATCATTCAGCCCCAGTTTTTAACACGGTCCTGGCACACAGTTGGAGCCCAGTGAAGGAATCGCTGAGGAACGAGTTCATGACCCTGTGTATCCAGCACAGCCTGCCCTGCCACCCTCTCTCCCCTCACTTGTGCTCATGCTTTTCCAGAGCACTTCTTGCTACCTGTGATGAAGTGGGATGTTTCTTTGCTTACTTGCTGACCTGCTCCATGTCCCAGCTAGAAAGTCTGCCCCATCAAGTCAAGAAGTTTCTTTTGTTCACTACTGAGCCCCTAGCACCCAGAACAGAGCTTCACACATAGAAGAAAGTGCTGAGAAATCGTCAAAGAGCAGATGTGTGAGCGTACGAAGGGATGAGCGAATGATGCTCTTGACCTCTATGCATCTTCTCCTCCTAGGGCACCGGCCTGTTGTCAGCAGAAGTTTCACCATCTCAGGATCCTTGTTGGTGCTTCTCATCATATTCATAGTTCTGGGCTTCACCCACTTCCTTGCGGTCTTGATCCGTGCCCTGTTCAGACATTACTCTACCAGGTACCTATTGCATTGGGCCCAGGTTGGGGCACTGGCTGGGGACTCGAACTCAAGGGACAGCACATCCTTGAGAGGGGAGGCAGAGCCAGAATGGGGAAGGGACCAGATGATCAAGGATCATCTGGGCAAACAATTAGATAACAAGGACATGAGGCTCCATTTCCTCACCTGTAAATTGGAGGTGATGAAAGGACTGATGCTGAAGCTGAAGCTCCAATACTTTGGTCACCTGAGGCGAAGAGCCGATTCATTGAAAAAGACCCTGATGCTGGGGAAGATTGAGGGCAGGAGGAGAAGGGGGAGACAGAGGATGAGGTGGTTTCATAGCATCACCAACTAGATGGACATGAGTTTGAGTAAACTCCAGGATATAGTGAGGGAAAGGGGGGCTGGCATGCTGCAGTCCAGGGGGTTGCAAAGAGTCAGACACAATGAAGCAACTAAACAACAACAATAGCGCAAAGTGGAGGTGATGCTGATAACAATCACTTACTCTGTACAGAGACTGGTAGTGTCACGCAGGTTACAGTGGTGACTGCTGGCATGGAGGAAGTGCTCGGAAAATGTTGGCTCTCCTTATCTCCCTGGAATTTACCCCAACTCTGATCTTGGGACTCTAGGGACTTCATAGACTTGAACCTAGGAAGTTGTGTGACTTTGGGCAAGTGACTGCCCAAGCACCTCACTAAACTTTCAGCCACAAAATATATCTTGTGTATCTGTTTAGGACAATTTCTATAAATGATCTACCATAGTGCCTGGCATAAAACAGGTGTGAAATTCATCATTGTCAATTATCAGGCCAGGTAGTACCAATACCTTTCCCAGAACACCCAGTCTGTTTTCCCTCTCCCCCGCCCCACAGCATTGCTCTATAGCGACCTTAAGACCTCAGAAATATTAAACTGTGCAAATGTTGGAGACACTCATTGTAAGGAGTAAGCTCCCAGATTCATGATCTCTCTTAGGAGTACGGGGGCTTGGAGAGAAGAAGCTGACCCCTCATCTACCCAGGACTCACAGTTTCCTATGGATCCCAGGTCTGACTTCTTCCCTAATTTCTCTCCACAGGGCAAATCGGCCTATATGACTGTCCGCCTCAGACCTGGAGGATAAAACCGGACAGGCAAGGAGGTGAGGCGGGAGTGAGAGTCCCCAGAGAGACGAGCTAGGCTGGAAGGGGCTCAGGAATTGGCTGGAGGGGACAATCAAGCAAGGGACTCGGGCCAGTCACGCTGGGACTGGAGGTGGAGGCTCCCAGAGAACGTCTACAGTCTGCTCCTAGGACCAGGGGGTGGTGGGAGGGTGGGGAACCCCAGGAGCGCATGGCTACTGACCACTCCATCTGCCAATCAGAACTAGCCAATGGGATGCAGACTGGGGCGGGGCTCTAATTCCCACGCCTCTTCCCCACAAGTAAATAGGATTCCAACTTCTCTATTTCCTTAACCAGACCCTGTGGGACCATCAGAGAGTCTGCAAATATGCCCCATCTCAGCATCGCCAGTGACAGAGAGATGGAACCACAGGACCTGTCGGGTGAATGTCATGGTTAGAAACTTTGCTGGGCAACGATACTCACTAGTGTAAGAAATGTTCACAACATGATGCTGAGTTAGAAACACACAATACAGACCTGCATCTGATAGGACCATGTTGTGAAAAGTATAGATTAGTTAATTGATATAGGTACAATATTACAGTATGTGTACACACACACACATATGCTATATATATCCAGTGAGATGGTTGGATGGCATCGTGGACTCAATGGACATGAGTTTGCACAAACTCAGAGAGATAGTGAAAGACAGGCAAGCCTGGCATGCTGCAGTCCATGGCGCAAAGAGTGGGACACAACTTAGCAAGTGAACAACAATGATATCCACAACAACAATATCCACATATAGATATACCATATATATATCTCCATATATATATAAATATCTGAGCACAAATTGTATAAGCTCTTAACTCTTAACGGTGCTATCTAAATTTCCCTTTTGCACTTTACTGTCTGCTCTGAAGTGTTTTTTTTTTTCTTCTCAAAGTGTATACGCTGTTTTCATATTTATTATAAGAACCAATAAAATTAAAACAACATACGGCTTATTGAGACCTCATAATGCCGTTTCTGGAACTTTTCCTTGAGCTCTCTTCATGCATGTGTCCAAAAATATCTAAGTCAATTTGCTCATCCCCATAACAGAATAGAAATAAGGGAGGGAGGGAGAAAGAAAAAGACAGAGAGACTCTCTCCTGGCGAGATCTATGGGAGTGTGGAGGCCCAGCCAAGCCCCTGTGGTTGTCGCCGCTCTCAGGAAATACCTGACTGTTTGAAGGTTCAGGAAGCAGTTAGGGCCGATTCTGGACACAATGCAGTCTCCTTGGCCCATTGCTTCAGATCTCTTCTTCCGTCTTGGGGTCCTCTAGCCTTCATCTCTTCATCTGTATCTGCTTGTCCCCGAGTCACTAGGTCATTCACTGCCATTTCTTCAAGAAAAACCAAAAGTCCTCATGGGAGGTTACTTCGTGCAAACACATGGCCAAGGGGTCTGCTGGTTGCCTGACCCAACAACAGCCCATGAGGAAGAGACCCTCAGAAACCGGGAGGGGCGTGAGTCCCAACGCTGCCCTGAGAGGCTGGGTGACCCCGAGGCAGCCCCCTAACCTCTCTGAGCCTGGTTCCTCATCTCCATAACCAATGCGACACTTTGCATTCCTCAGGATCCTTCCGCACACCTGGCACAGAGCCTCACACCGGCCAGGTGCTTGGCAAAGGTCCCAGGAAGCCATACGTGTGTCTGATTGTTTTTTAGAAGAAAGCTACTGTCAGACTCCACCGCCCAGCTGGGACCCAGCAAGGGCACAGGCGACCTCCCACACCCCGGTTCATTCCCCAGCCTGATTCAGAAGTGAGAACGCCTCCAGGAACTTTGAATTAATCCCTGATATCAACTGGGGAGTGTGGGGGAGTTATTAATTCTCCTGTTCAAACCGGGAAGGCGTCCTGGGTGGGGCTGGCAGTGGCCAAGCCACGTCATGTAAACAGGGACCTTCCTCTGGGAGGAGCGATGAGATTTTTTATTTCATCAAGAGCGCAGGAAGGGAGAAGGAAAAGAGCGGGCGGGGCTTTCTGCCTGTCACTGCCTGGGTCTGCCCACCGAGCACGGGTCATCCCAGGACTGCAGCTGAGGGGCTCAGAAAAAGCTGGGAGAGTTGTTATGAACAGTGATTCAGGAGGAGGAGGCAACAGGGATCCCAGTCCTTGTTAGGACAGAATCGGGACTGTGAGCTGCCGTGAGAAATTCTTCCGGATGTAAATTGTCAAGATTTGAGACGGGAACGGCCTGGCCCTGTCCCAGGCTGCCAGCTCCACGCCCCTCGTCTCCCTGTGGAGTCAGATTGGAAAGAAGTGCCTGTTACTGCATCTTGGTGCCGTGTCTATATGTTCTCCCTACACATCCCAACCCCCTTTTTGTGGTCACTGTGCTCCATTATTTAACCACCATTGTTGTTTGGTCACTAAGTCGTGTCCAACAATTTTGCACACCCATGGACTGCAGCCTGTCATATCTATGCATTAAGATGCATTAGATTCATGTGTATTTCCAAAATCGCTTCATGCAAATAATAAAAAACTAAACACATCCCTCATAGGCTTCCCTCATAGCTCAGTTGGTAAAGAATCCGCCTGCGTGCGATGCAGGACACCCTGGTTTGATTCCTGGGTTGGGAAGATCCACTGGAGAAGGGAAAGGCTACCCATTTCAGTATTCTGGCCTGGAGAATTCTATGGACTATACAGTCCATGCGAAGAAGGCAATGACACCCCACTCCAGTACTCTTGCCTGGAAAATCCCATGGATGGAGGAGCCTGGTAGGCTACAGTCCATGGGGTCGCTAAGAGCTGGACACGACTGAGCGGCTTCACTTTCACTTTTCACTTTCATGCATCGGTGACGGAAATGGCAACCCACTCCACTGTTCTTGCCTGGAGAGTCCCAGGGACGGCGGAGCCTGGTGGGCTGCCACCTATGGGGTCACACAGAGTCAGATACGACTGAGCGACTTTCACTTTCACTATACAGACTTCCCTGTAGCTCAAACGGTAAAGAATATGCCTGCAATGCAGGAGACCGGGATTTGTTCCCTGGGTTGGGACGTTCCTCTGGAGAAGGGAATGGCAATCCACTCCAGTATTCTTGCCTGGAGAATTCCATGGACAGAGAAGCCCGGAGAGCTACAGAGTCTGTGGGGGTTGCAAAAAGTTGGACACAACTGAGCGACTAACACACACAGACACATCCCAAGTTAACCACTGCGTATTCCCATTGACAGAGATGGGCATGTGTTCTACGTCTATATCTAAACCTGTATCTCCGTTAAAAAAGTCAAATCACTCTCTTGCACACTTGAAACTAATGTAATATTATAAGTCAATTGTGTGTGCTCAGTGGTGTCTGACTCTTTGCAGTCCCATGGACAGTAGTTGGGTTGCCAAAGGGTTGGCATTTCCTTCTCCAATGGATCATGTTTTGTCAGAACTCTTCACTATGACTCGTCCGTCCTGGGTGGCCCTGAGCTACGGCTCATAGCTTCATTGAGTTATGCAAGCCCCCTCACCAGAACAAGGCTGTGATCCATGAAGGAGGAATTTCTGATACTATACATTAATTTTACCTATTCCTGAGCTTCATAGCAATGAGATTATAAGGTATGTTTTCTTTTGCATCTGGTTTTTTTCACTCAACATGTATTCAAAATTCATTCTCGTTACAGGTGCCATTGTTCTTTTTTTCTTTTTTCTTTTTCTTGAGGACTAGTATTCCATTGTATGGATATACCCTACTTTGGTTATCCATTCTCTTTTAGTATTTGGTTTATTTCCACATTTTGGCCATTATAAATAATGCTGCTGTAAACAGTCACATATAAGTGTTTGTGTGGATATTTGCTTTTATTCTCCCTGAGTAAATTTCTAGGAGTAGAATTGCTGG